GCACCACACCCAGGGGTCCTCCTCGCCCGCCAGCAGCTCCCTCCGGGACACGTGGAAGGTGCTCGAACTGGGATCCAGCCCGTCCGGCCTCACCTCCCAGGGTGACTCGGCGCCAGGTGGGCAGAGCACCGTGGGGGTGGGCAGAGCACCGCGCCAGGTGACATGCCAGTCCAGGCCCCGCACTTGGTTTGGTCACCTGTGCGCCCAGTGTCCTTCCTTGCACCTGGTGGCTGAGCAGGTCCCCAACATGGCGTCCGACAGGTGGCGCCGCGACAGGACACGGGCTGGGAGGAGCTGGTGCACTGGACAGGTGGGCCCTGGGAGAGAGCCCCTCGGCCGGCCCAGCCCCGCCAGTTGTGCCTTGAGGCCCCCCCACCCCCCGCAGGAAAGCCTGTGGGAAGGGCCCCTGGGGGCGGCGTGGGGCCGACGCAGCCAGACGGCAGAGGGCCTGGCCAGTGTGGGGCAAGGGTGAGGGCGTCGGCCCGCCCACCGAGAACGCAGGTTTGATTCCGGGCAAGGCACACACCTGAGCTGAGGGTTGTTCCCGATCCTGGTCAGGGCATGTGGGAGGCGACCAATCAATGTTTCTCTCCTCCCTGCCTTCCCTGCTGCTCTCTGAAAACCAGTGGGAAAATATCCTCTGATGGGGGTAACACAAAGGAAGAAGGGCAGAGGGAGGGGTGCTGTCGGGACGCGGATAGGCGAGAACTCAGAGGCGTCCAGTGGGCACAGAGCGCCCACTCCAGGCTCACACCGCAGCCCCGGAGCCGTGTCCTGGTGAGCGCCTCCCGCCACGGAGCTGGCTGCCACCTGTCCCTTCGAGGGCGGGTTAGCCTGTCCAACCCAGGACAACAGTGTCGCAGCGAGTCGCCTCGAGACTAGGCCTTGGGGCCGTGCAGGGGTGACCCCAAGGGGTACTCTGTCCGAAGTCTGACCTCGTCCAATTTGGGCAGAGTCACAGCTCCTCGCCTCTGCCTGTTCTGTGGGCGCGGGGCTGTGGGCATGGGTGTGGGGCTGTGGGCGCGGGCCTGTGGGCATGTGTGCAGGGCTGTGGGTGCGGGGCTGTGGGCATGGGTGCGGGGCTGTGGGCGCGGGGCTGTGTCGTGGG